CCAGGCCACCAGCATGCAAACGATCAATCACCACCAACAGCTAACGATTGGCAACAATTCTTGAGATGATCCCACGATTGAATTGTATGATATGTAATATCATGCATCAATAAAACTGTTTAAAACAAACAGAGGGAAAAAAACCCCAACAGCTAAAGTGTTATTGTGTGAACACCGACCTTTAAAACTATCTCAGAAAGGAGCCGGGGTGGGACAGTGAGTGAAACACTGGGCCGCTCACCGTAAGAACAGGAGTTCGAACTCACCAGCCACTCCAGGGGAAAAAGAGGAGACCTTCTGATCCAGGAAAGACTGACAGCCGCAGGCACACACAGGGCTTTGAGTCAGAATTGACTCGATGGCAGCGACTGTGGCATCTTGTTGACAGAACGCAGACGAACAAACAAGATCCAGAACTAACATGGAAGAGGGTGAACCCCGGGCCCGTTGTTTATACTCATTGCCATACTGTTGTTACTGCCAACGACCCCAGGCACAGCAGAATGCAATGCTGCCTGGAGGTTGGATTGCTGTGACGCATGGGGTTTTACCCACTAATTTTGAGAAGTACATCCCCAGGCCTTGTTCCTAGTCTGCCTTAATCGGAAGCTTTACTGAAACCCGTGCAGCACCATAGCCACACAGAAGATGGGCCACGGTAACACCTGAGGTGTATTGGCTGGGCATCCAGCAACCTGGGTCTCTGGCATGAAAGGCAAAGGCTTTACCATTAAGCCATCACTACCTTACACTTAATAAAGACTACTACTAATACAGCTCTATGTGGCCCAGTATAATGCATGGACATAATGATTCTAAAAAGACTGACTCTACTACCACGAATTCTTCCAGTTTGGGAGAATTAGAGCAAGAATCTTTAGTCCATTTTTCATAGAAGCTTCAATCACTACCATTTTACCTGCACATATGCAGACACATATCTTAATTTAAACTTTTATTTAGGTATATATATATTTTAAAGAAACCATATATACTATGACTGTAAGTGGAACCCCCAAGCCTGTTGACCTGGTGAATATTGAGAACAAAACAAAACAACAACAAATAATTACCCAATAACAAAGTTTTTTTCATGTACAAATTAAATGTACCCCCCCCACACACACATACAATAACTCTGTGAAGTAGGTATTATTACCCACATTTCACAGATGAAGAAACAAGATCAAAGCCCTTAGGCAACTTCCCAAGGTCAACTTGTAAGTGAAAGAGATATGATTCAAATCCAAAGCTGTCTAGTTGCAAAACAAACTGTTTTAATCATGTCCTTAAATTGCTTCCCAAGACTGGGAGGACTTCCTTTCTCCTCATAACTCCCTGGCAGGCAAAAATATAGACATTTTTTGGAAGAGAGTGGAATGTAGGGAAGAATAATGTGTTCTGCAAAACATCAGAAAATACCCCAGGTAAAAATGTGACAGGAGGGACTAGGGATTCTTACTCGGATCCACCTCTAATAACGTACTACTAACGCTTGGCATGTGTGAGTCTTCATTAAACAACCGAGGGAGTCCTGTAATTTAGGGAGCGAGAGTGCTCAGCTGATCAGCATCACGCTGCTAATGGCAAGGTCAGCAGTTCAAAACCACCAGCCCCGCCAGGGGGAAAGACAGGGGTGGGTGGAGGTGTTTGGTTTGAGTGCTCAGCAGATGACTCGGAGAGCACTCGCGTGGAGTCCACTCCTGAAGCGCTGCTATGTGTTTCCATGGAGAGCGTTCAAGCCAGAGTCAAGGATTCATCTGAAGGTCAGGAGAGTCCTCATTTACCACTTTCTCCATTTTATCTTCAGGATTGCCCTGGTTTTTGACAGAGTAACCCCAAAGTGGGTCTCTGGCTGGTGAGGAGGGAGACGTGCACAGAATACCCACTCAGCCGTGTCAGTGCAGAGGACCAGTCTCTTAAGGAAACAGTCCCTCACTCCAATTTGCATATGACATGGTTACCCAGCTATGTCCAAGGTACAACTAAGGCATCTTGGAGACTACAATAAACAAAATGAAAATTTTGTGGAGAACAGAAACTCTTATTGTATTCACCAAAAGGGATGATTAAATTTGTAATTCAGCAATTCCCAAGTCACAACCTGTTTTCACTCCAACACATGCTTGATATACCCTGTTTCCCCAAAAGTAAGACATCCCCTGAAAATAAGACCTACTTACAGTTTTGCCTCTCGGTGAAATATAAGGCATCCCACCGAAAATAAGACCTCCCTGAAAATAAGGCCTCCCGAAGCTACTGTAACTCTGGACTCTGGACCGTAGTGGTGGGCGCCGCCACGCAGCTCACTATTGGCTGCAGCGCAGCCAGAGCAGACAGGAAGTACGAGGTCTCTTTTAATAAAACAATAAGCAATAAATGTGTACCGTATTCTTCTTCATGGAAAAATAAGACATCCCCTGAAAATAAGACCTAGCG